AAAGTAGTCTTATACGCCAGAAAATACAGTATATTGATGCGATGAATTTTGCCTCTCAGGATGGGAGAAGAGATGGGCCTTGTGTATTAAATTGACTTGTATGCTATTTAATTTATAATGGTATATAAATTTATAAGATTTTAAGTATTACCATATATTGTAATTATTTTATTTTTTTAAACATTAAATAAAGGTGGGCCTGAGTTGAAAGCTTTTTTTGTACCTGAACATTCCCAAAGCTTGGATCTGGGAATCTGGTTTGGGGCTGGATTGTCTAATAAGACAACATAATATAAACATTCATCTTCTGTAAATCAAAAAACTTTGCAGAGAACCCATGTAGAAATCAGAAAGAAATTAGAAAGATTCGGTGCATTTATGGAAGCAGTGTTGTTTAGTATTTAGAGCTACAGACTGAGAGTCAGGAGACCTGAGTTATACTCCCAGTTATGCCTCAGATTCATTGTGACATTTTGCAAATTTTAGATTTCAGTCCTGCCTTCTCAGTTTCTGCATGTATGAAATGGGGATAGTGATTTATGGCTGTATAAGAAAACCTTGGATTAAAACTGCTGTATAAGTGCAAAATATTATCATTGGTTTAAGTAAAGCTCTTAGGCTGCTAATGTATTGCAATCATGGAGTTAAAAAGAAGACCTTTTGAAAAGTCAGGGAGTTTGCTTGCATTAATGTATCTAGTAGTTATCACATTATTTCAAAACCTTGCTATATCAGTTCCTTGTCTTCTAAAACAATGTAGATTACATGATTGACTGCTAAGATGTACACAATTCTTCAACAACATAGTGTTATTTTTATAAACACTATTTTATAACCCAAAACTATGCTAGGTGCTTCTCAGAAAACTTGGAAAGACACGCTTCCTGCCCAAAAGAGTGTGTAATATGAATTTAATATGTGACAAACCGTAAAGCGGCATAAGGTAGTGGTAGTGCTGGTACTCAGTTTAAGTATATGCATATCTTAGTAGTTCAATAAAAATACATAGGGAAGGAGAAATGTGAATATAATTTAATCACTAGCCATAAGCATCAAGGAAGAGATGATTAATTTAGTTAAATTAATATAAAGGAAAGAGAGAGTAGGAGGCAGCCTGGAAAAAAGATGAGGTCTTCATTGAAGAAGTGGACAAAGAGGTTGTCAAAGCTGGAGGAGAAAAGGGATGGATGGCTTGATGACATAAACGGTTTTAAAAGACATTTGATATAGTAGAAGTTGCCTGTACAACATTGAGAATTTATCATGAAGATGATGTCAGAATAGAAAGACTAAAAAAACTATGTTGAATGGTGGATGTGAGGAGTCTGAAGAGATATGTTTAATGAAAATTAAATAAAGCAAAATTACTAAAATAGCTGTAAAGCATCTTTCATCTGAAAGTCTCAATGTACTTTACCAGGACTTATTAAAACTTGCAACACACTGCTTGACAGATCAGACTGAAAACTGAGACACAGGACTTGTCTAAGTGACTTGTCCAGAGTCTGTAGAAAGATGGGAAGAGAACAGAGATGTCCTGACTCCAGTAATCTGCTTCAACTACTGGAAGTTAACACTTCTCTAGATTAAACAATAAATACTAAATATGAGTTTATGCCTCATTGAAAATTTTTGAAATCTATTTAAAGGCTGTTGTGCCTAAGAAATGCTACTTTTTCCTATATTCTTTTCTGCCCCCCTTCTTAAAAATTCTTTCTAGTGATAGCTGCATTTCATAGAATCATAGAATATCAGAGTTGGAAGGGACCTCAAGAGGTCATCTAGTCCAACCCCCTGCTCAAAGCAGGACCAATTCCCAGCTAAATCATCCCAGCCAGGGCTTTGTCAAGCCGGGCCTTAAAAACCTCCAAGGAAGGAGACTACTCCACCACCTCCCTAGGTAACGCATTCCAGTGTTTCACCACCCTCCTAGTGAAATAGTTTTTCCTGATATCCAACCTGGACCTCCCCCACTGCAACTTGAGACCATTGCTCGTTGTTCTGTCAATTTAAAACTATACACCTCTATCCCGATATAAGGTGACCCGATATAACACGAATTCAGATATAATGCGGTAAAGCAATGCTCCGGGGGTGGGGGGGTGCGGTGCTGCGCATTCCGGTGGATCAAAACAAGTTCAATATAACGCAGTTTCACCTATAACGTGGTAAGATTTTTTGGCTCCTGAGGACAGCGTTATATCAAGGTAGAGGTGTATTTGTTTTGAGTTTTTCTCTCTGCCTATGATCACATGAACTCCTAATTCCTTCTTTGTGGTGATCATTTTGTTGCTGTAGTGATAATTATGTTGTTACAAATGGTATTATGATTTCACATTGTTAACCTGAAGCAGGTGATCTTGTAAGAAACACAGATCTTGGATTTTATGTCCACTTCTATATTTAATAGAAAACAGGAATCTCCTTCCCACTACATCTGTCCACCTCTTCCTATAAAGAGAGAAAATAGAGGAAAAACTATTTCTATATAGAATGTTTTTCATGAGGCATCAGTTGCTTCTTTAAAGTTCTTGCATATACCCATAGAGCAGAGAAATGTATACTGTGTTGCATCTTAAAGAGGAACTAACTATTTTTATGTGCCTGTTTTTTCTTTAATTGTTTCCACTGGTTTATGCTTCCAGAGTTGTCAGCATTCGCTGTAATAGTCATCTTCCCTTCACATTATTATTGCAATCAAAAACCCTGATTCATCATAGTTTACACACTTAATCACCACTCTGACATATATATATTTTTGGGCAATTAGAGATGTTCAAGTTTGTTCATATTTCAATGACTGGATTTTATAATATAAGTGTGGTTACATTCAGATTTGTCCTTTTCCCCATTCTCCAGGTTTCAATACATCAATGGCAGATTCATCCAGTGATTCAGACAATTTTCTTCGTGGTCGTGTAGGAAGGCGGGGCCCTCTAAGAGCAACCCACAGCAGAGCCCGAAACCATGGGGCTGGAGATGTTACAGAGAAGATCCATACCTTAGCAAGCACTTTACAGGTTGTTAGACAATGATCAGATACTGTGCAAACAGGATAACTTATGTTTGTGTAAAAGAAAGTGCCCAATTTTTCTGAATGAGGTGGTCTAAAGTGCTGTGGTAATGGGAAACATTACTTGCCATTTATCAACTGTAAAAAGTATTTGGGAAATAAAGCATGACATGTCTGCATTTACAGTGAGTATTTTACTGCTATTTCTTACAGCAACATGGAAGCTTGATAAAATATTGTTAGAAATGACTCGTTTAAACCATTGAAAGGTCTGATAATGTCTCATTCAGTTACGAAGTTGGCAAAATGTTTGCCAACAGAGCAATCTTTTTTTTTTTTTTTTTTAAATTTAACTGCAGAATTCCCACAGGATGCATTAGCTCTTTGGGGCAGCGACTGTCATTTTGTTCTGTGTTTGTACATTGCCTAGCACAATGGGGTCCTGGGAGTCCTAGGTGGTATCATAATATTAATAAAAAAACCAAATTACAGACAGAGTGAAGACAAAAATCCCTTCCCCACAGATCTGATAATCTGAATAGATAATGTTCAGACAAAGGATCATGGACAGGCTAGAATGCAAAAGAGAGTGCATGTCACTTGTTTGGATGACTTTTTGGGGCAGTGGCTTCTCTGTGGGCAAAAGTAATTCTGTACAATTGGCATTGTGGGGTTCCATGTTTTATGTATCCCTGACTCCAGCTCAAACTTGCTCAGTTTGCAAGTTAAGACTGCTTTCTAGCTGACAGCCCTGCAGACTCCCCTTGAGCGCTGAGTCAAGCTGGGTTCTTTTCTTCTTAATGCATCCGTCACCAGCAATAAAAATGAAGGTGCGATTTGTCCTGTCATGCAGTATCTTTGCTACTGGTGATGCTGAGAAGGAAAGAACCCACAGGGAGTTTGCTGAGTTGTAACTTAGAAAAGAAAAATCTTGAACAGAGTAAACTTGAGCTGGAAGAAGTGAGATACAACACTGCAGTTTTAATTCTGAGCTGAAGAAAGATCCTGATTTAGATGCACTGTGTTCATTTTGATTAACGAATTAAGACTTAATATTTTAGTGTGAAGTATGCATTGTCCTCATTTTGCAGATGGGGGAACTGAGGCATTGAGTGTGAAGTGAATTCCAGAGTGTGAAGTGAATTCCAGCACTGAATAGAATCCAGATCTCTTGACTCCAGTCTTATGCCATAACTAGAAGATCATACTTCCTTTTTACTTGACAATGTCTTATATTTTTATGCAGCCGCTGAGCCAGACAATATAACAAAAATACCAGTATATATTTTCAGTTTATTCAGAGTGCCTGCCCATAGCTTCAAGCTTTCTCTTACTTATTTGGTGAGCTTGACAGGTAGCTTAAGCTATTTGCCTCAGCTTACCCATGTGTAAAATACAGATAATGATTAAGGCTGCGTGTCTGTCATGGAGGTAACGGAAGTCATGGATTCTGTGACTTTCCATGACCTCCGTGACTTCTGCAGCAGCTGATGCAGCTGGCTCCGGGGCTGCCTGAGCATCTCAGGCAGCCCCTAGGGCTGCCGCACTGACCGCTGTTGGGGCAGTCTTGGGCCACTGCACTCACTTCCCCCCAGCAACAGCAGTTCGGGTGTGGGAGGGGACTCAGGGCTGGGGCAGGAGGTTGGGGTGCGGGTCGGTGCTTACTTGGGGGGGGTCTCCCCGGAAGCGGCCGGCATGTCCCTACAGCTCCTAGGTGGAGGGGCCAGGAGACTCTGCGCGCTGCTCCTGCCTGCAGGCATGGCCCCTGCAGCTTCTATTGGCTGCGGTTCCTGGTCAGTGGGAGCTGCAGAGCCAGCGCTCGTGGCAGGGGCCGCGCACGGAGCCCCCTGGCCTTCCCTCCCCATAGGAGCTGCAGGGATATGCCAGCCGCTTCCGAGAAGCTGGGTGGAGCTGGGTAGGAAGCCTGACATCCCCGCCAACCTTCCTCTCCCCCCCCCCTCCTCCCCAGTGGGGGGTCCCGGGCCGTGTGCTGCTGCCTGCTTCCCCCGAGCACCAGCGGGGGTCTGGGACCACCCCCAGCACTTGCAGCACCCCTGGACTGCTGCTCCAGAGCACCTGCAGCCCTCTGGCCCAAATTTTAGTAAGGGGTGTGAATTTTTGTTTACTGCCTGTGACCATGACTTTTACCAAAAATACCCGTGACTACAATGTTGCCTTAAGAGTGATACTTCGGAATTTCAGTGGGATTGCCATAATATGAGGCTAAATGATTGCTTTAAGGTCCTTGGCTGAAAGGTTTTGATACAGTGTAGGCAAAATTTGGCTGCTTAAACTTAGGCATCTATTGAAAATGATTGGTCTGATTTGTTTTCATAGGTGCTCGGTGTCTCCAGCTCTCACAGACTTCCGTGGGAGTTGTGGGTGCTCAGCCACATTGAAAATCAGATCACTTATTTAGATGCCTAATGTGAGGCAAAGTATATTAATGGTAAAGCTAACAAAGTAATGCATTTTTGTTTCTTTGGAGAGACGATTTCTAATTTAACATTCTTTTTCCTCAATTTTGTTCTTAAGGATACCAACCGAAACCTGAAACACGTTGACCAGATGCTAGGACAGTACAGAGAGTACAACAATGAACAGACTGAAGCTATAGCAACTGTGAGCAACTTTCAATGTAACCTTAAGCCTCTTCCTCCTGTGTTATTATATAACCAGTTGAAAATTGGTGTCTAGCAATGGGCAAGCTAGCGAGAGATTTAAACAGTATAAATCAATCTTTAATAGTCTTCTGTACTACCACCTTTTGAAATTGATAGAGTTTCTGAATGAGATTAGCAACAAGGAGTCCGGTGGCACCTTAAAGACTAACAGATTTATTTGGGCATAAGCTTTTGTGGGGAAAAAAACCCTCACTTCTTCACATACATGGAATCTGAAAAAGTGAGTTTTTTGACCCACGAAAGCTTATGCCCAAATAAATTTGTTAGTCTTTAAGGTGCCGCCGGACTCCTTATTGTTTTTGTGGATACAGACTAACACAGCTATGCGCTGATACTTGACACCATGAATGAGATTAGAACACTTTTAGTACTGGTTGGCCCAGTCTTCTTTGTGGTCCCGTTAGGAAATGTCTGAAGGGCGAAATTCACCACGGTTCAGAGGACCCACACAAAGCCCTATACACGACTTAAGCCTCTGACATGGAATGGTGCTTAAATGTGGTACACAGGGTATTTTGCAAGCCTTTGCCCCAGAGTGAACTTAATCAGAAATGAATGGGATGATATTTAATTGTAGAGTAAAACAGGAGATGGATAGTGTTAAGGATGAACAAATTGGTTGGTACTCTGGGAGCTATCAAGTTTGAGATGTTAAAGTCAGAGATTTATTGAAACTGAATCCTGTGGTATGAAAGGAAATGTGGAAAATGTACTGTTTTGCTTGAAAATTGGCCTAATATTTGAGTACTCTGTGGTATATATTCATTGAGTTCAATAATACAACTTCTGTAATTTGTGTAAACTCTAGTGAAATATGCCCTTCAGTGCTCAGTTGTACTATACCAAATAAAACTGCACAATACAGATAAGTAGAATATTTAAAGAAATTAAACTGAAATATTTAAATTATGTGAATTTCCATACTTATACATTGTAATGTAGAATTATTTGCTATTTTTCTTCTGAAAAAGCAGTAGGAAAATTTTATTCTATCCTAGTAATTGGGAATATAACTATCTCAGTTGGGAAACGTAGATGTCTTCAATACTAATACTCTGATTTAGAAGATAAACTTGAGTACTTGTGCCTTTGCAGATAGATATATATAATTTAATTGCTGATTTTTACTCTTAAGATTTCTCTTGGACATGGGAGACATAAATGTAGGTTCACGATTGGGTTTTATTAGTTTTCACTATTTTAATAATGATAAAATTAATTCAGGTTTTTTTTTTAAAGACACTAACTTTTCAGAGAATAGAAAAACATGATAGGCTTATTTATTCTCAACATACTGGTAGGTGTTCTTTTCAGACAGCTAGAAGTTGAACTGGGTTTTGGCTGAGCATGGCCGTATCAGAATTTTATTTTGATTCAGGACCTTCTTTTTTAGCATCTGGATGACTGATATCTTTCTGACTTGATTTCTCTTCAAAGTGAGCAATAAAGTTTTGGGACATCTCCTGTTGGAGATTTAGAATACTAAAGTATAGTCTACACCCTCTATTAGTAAAAAAACTTCATCTTCCAAATAGTTCCTGTTCACTTCCCTAAACATAAAAAAATCATCTTCCATCACCTTCACATCCATATTATACTTCCTGTGTACCAATGGTCTGATGCTTTCTTCCTGCCTGCTATCAGTCTCACTTGCTTATTTTGACATGCTTCTGATTTGCTACCATTTATTTCTCATCCCTGGCTGCCTGAATTCTTGATACAACTGGCCCCTCTTATACTGGTTCCAAGCCTGCTGGAACTGTGAGGAAGTTTTTGGTGGGTGATGGGAGGCCATACAAGGGAATTAAACATAGGTGTATTGTGTTGAGACTGTGTCCTCACAAGAGTCCTGCTCTGAATTCTAGCAGCCAGAAATCTACCTTCCAACCCCACAATTACATGTTACCTCCAGGGTATGATCAAGTTTTCAAAATATCTAAGCTGATCTAGGATTCTGCCATCTCTTGTTGAAACTTGAGCAAAGAGTAAAAAAATGGGTTTAACAGTTCTCTCCATTCCTGAATGCCTCTATGAGGGAGGTCAGTCCACTGGGAGGAGGGCAGTGTAGCCTATTGGCCGGAGCATGCAGCAGGCCTTGTGGCCGGGTTCAGAGCCATAATCCGTCATTAGGAGCCAAAACCAATGGTCAAAACCGGAGGTCAGGATCTTGATACCAGAGCCAAGAGGTCGAGCCAGAGTCCGTAGCCAGGAGCTGGAGTCAAGGGTCAAACTGGAGGTCAGGAACTGGAGCAAGCAGGGTAGCAGGCAAGGAGGGGTTCAAGGTAGGGGAAGGACAGAGGCAAGGCTCGATGCAAGCAGGAGCAGTATGAATAAGGTAATGCAGGAGCAGGCCACAGTCATGGAGATGAGTGCTGAGAAGCCACCAAGCTGCAGCTGCTGGCTTAAGAGCCAGCCTGCTGGCCTCTGCAGCCAATCAGGTTGGATGGCTAATTAGGCTGCAGGCCAGATGTACTGATGAGGCTGCCTGGAGACTAGCTTTGCTGCAGGCCCCGATTCCTGACAGGGAGAAATTAGAAGAAGATTATTACAGCATCCTGCTTTGCATAAAGATACTGTAGTTGGCATCCTTCTATTTTGCCTGTCTTCAGTTGTTCAGGGGAAGTTTGATTATCAACAATTAGCTCAGTCATAATATAGGCATGTCTTGATTGTGAGCTTCTCCTAAAATGAATGAATTTTAATCCTGGTTTACACTTTACTTCAAAAGGAATCTTTGTTTCTTCCCCTTCGTTCTCATCCCTATGTATAAAACATTTGGGTGGGTGAATGAAGGGGGAAATGATGTCTTTTCCTTCCTATGAAGTATTAAGTGTTGGCTACTCTTGGATGCAAGGTAGTAGGTTTGATGGCACAGTGATCCAGTGCAGCAAATCCTATATGTTATGATAGATTTGTTTTTTGCAGTGTTCTGGAGTATCCACCAAATATAGTTTGTTCTTCCTGAATAACTGACTGTCTTCCATGCCCATCTCTTGAAACTCAACATTTTGCAGTCTATTTGGAAAGAACTCCGTATGTTTGTCAGTGACTGAGAGGAATGGTGGCAAAAGGTAGCCACAGTGCACTACCTAGATGATTGTCCTAAATATATTTCAGAAACTGGATTTGTCTGTCAGCTCATGATGCTCAACTTGACTACGAAAATGCATGTTAGTGGCTCCCCAAGATGCTTCTTCTGTAGTTGTAGTGAAGAAGATAGCCAGGAAGGATTGCAGCCAGTTCTGGATGCAAGACACATATAGCAAAGACAAAGCTAACCAGGAACAATTAAATGGGGAAAAGCGAGACTCTGTTGAAACCCTAGTTCTTTCCTATCTCTAGTTTCCTCAGCATGATTGAATTTGGTTCCTTCTAGCTAGTGAAAACATTAGACCTGATGTCACTATTGTCACATAAGAAGAGATAGTGTTCACTGGCAGGTAGGAGACTTGAGTTTCATTCCTGGTTCTAAGCTTACTTGCTGTGTGGCCTCTAGCTAGATCAGGGATGGGTTTGCTTACCCTTATGTGTCTAATAGCCGCTGGAGTTTTCATTATTCTTATGTGAAAGTCTGCCTTTGTCTTTTCTTAGCTATCAAGTTCCAATTCTTGCCTCTTTCTCTTTCGCCTGTGTAGAATTCAGATGTTAGTAACTTAAACAATCCCTTGTGCTTTGAATCTCATGTGAGAACCAATGTTTTTGTCTCAGGACAGTCTTAAAATAAGTTTGCTTTTCTTGTAAAGATATGTTTAAATGTCTTTGTTCCTGCTACTACTATCACTTTAAGAACTTAGACCATATATATCCATCTCTGTTACTTTTTTAAATAATAGCTGTTCTCAAAACTGAGTGCCTATATTTCAAATATCCTTTTATTGTGGTGTTCTTTAAAAAAAAGTAAAAGTTTTGGTTGCTACTATACAATTGGAATTCTTTCCGTAGTACACTGTACTTTAATGAAGTCCTACAGAATCAAGATTTTTCAATCTGATACATGCAACTTACAACATAATTTTTTTTTAAATCCATATCTTATTTGGATGTCCAGTTGTTCTATGACAAGTACCCAGGTCTTCATCTAACAAATCACCAGAATACAAATAGTGTTGTCTTTACCCTTGTCTTGCAAAAACAGCCATTTTATCTGCTAAAGTGAGACAACTGATTAAAAGCATGAACAGATATTAGCTATTAGCTTAATAAATGAGTGACTGGATGAACTACCACTTGTGTTCTGCACCTTGTTCAATAATGTGTGTGTAACTTACTAATGTGTGATTATCTTCATGCCTCTTACGACATCTGGTTTCTTTCAGCATTTCACGTAGACTAAGTTGATGTTAAACAGAACGTTTTTAGGAATCTCTCTCTAATTCTTTCTGTAGTTATTTTTAAAGGGATTTTGCTTCTTGTTGCTGTGATGTTGTCCATTGAGTACTTATATTACCACCTCAATTTCTCTATAGAAATAGTAAAATTAATTTTAATTGGGTGGGGGAGTTCCTTTTTAAAGGTATTCTAGACTCATGCCTCACTTTGACTTGGGATCTTTGACTTTGTGGGACCGCAGAGCAGCAGCACTGAAGCCAGGTGCACCACACTATTTCATCCCATTGGCATAGTTTCCTGTACGTGCCTGTTTTTTGGATTAATTCAGTTTGCTGATTTACTTTTTGTGTGGTATGCAACTCTATTCATATTTGAAATATATTGGTTGATGATCACTCCATCCAGTCCCAGCTTCCAGCAGTCAGAGGTTTAGGGATAGCCACAGCATGAGATTGCATCTCTGACCATCTTGGCTAATAGCCATTGATGTACCTATCCTCCAGGAACTTATGTAATTATTTTTTGAACCCAGTTATACTTTTGGCCTTTACAGCATCCCCTGGCAATAAACAACTCACAGTCAACCTGTGGTACTTAAGTCATTGGTTTTCAAACTTTTTTTCTGGTGACTCAGTTGAAGAAAATTGTTAATGCCCGCGACGCATGAGGGGTTTGGAGTGTGGGAGGGGCTCAGACCTGGGGCAGAGGGTTGGGATGTGGGGGTGAGGGCTGTGGGGCAGGGCCGGGAATGAGTGGTTCAGAGCGTCGGAGGGGGCACTGGTCTGGGGGTGCAGGCTCTGGGGTGGAGCCAGGGATGAGGGGTTTGGGGTGCAGGAAAGGGCTCTGGGTTTGGGGGGGGGCTCAGGGCTGGGGTGCGGGGTTGGGGCGCAGGCTTATCTCAGGCGGTTCCCAGTCAGCGGCGCAGCAGGTGTGCTAAGGCAGGCTTCCTGCCTGTCCTGGCACCACGGACTGCACTGCACCCCAGAAGCGGCCAGCAGCAGGTCCGGCTCTTAGGTGGAGGCTCACAAGCGGTTCCACGTGGCTCTCGCCCACGGACACTGACTCCACCCCCCCAGCTCCCATTGGCTGGTTCCCGGCCTATGGGAGTGTGGAGCTGGTGCTTGGGGTGGGGGCAGCGCGCGGAGCCCTGTGCCCCCTCCTTCCCTCCCTCCCCCGCCTAGAAGCCGGACCTGCTGCTGGCTGCTTCTGGGGCACAGCGTGGTGTCAGGACAGGTAGGAACTAGCCTGCCTTAGCCAGGCAGCACTGCTGATGGGACTTTTAACGGCCCGGTCAGTGGTGCGGACCAGAGCCGCCACAACCCAGTGCCTTACATTCTGCGACCCGGTACTGGGTTGGGACCCGCAGTTTGAAAACCACTGGTTTAAGTATTTCCCTGTGTTTGCTGCCTATTAATTTCATTGGGTGACCTCTGATTCTTGTGATAAGTAAAAGGTGTTTTGAGATGGGGTGACCAGAACTGCATGCAGTATTCAAGGTGTGGGTGTACTTTCGATTTATATAGTAGTAGTATGATATTTTCTGTTTTATTATCTATCCGTTTCTAATGGTTCCTAATGTTCTGGGCTTTTATAACTGCTGCTGCATGTTGAGCAGATGTTTTCAGAGAACGATCCATGATAACTCCAAGATCTCTGTCTTGAGTGGTAACTGCTAACTTAGACCCATCATTTTGTATGTATAGTTGAGATTCATGTTTACCAGAGTGCTTTACTTTGATCTTATAACATTATATTCCATCTGCCATTTTGTTGCCCAGTCAGCTAGTTTTGTAAGATCCCTTTGTTACTCTTCACAGTCAGCTTTGTATTAAACTGTCTTGATTCACTGTCATTTGATCAGTGTCTATAAATATCTACCTACATTGGGAGAGACTTAGTTTTAACAGAAGCTCTTTAATCTAGCATAACAGGATCCAATGGCTGGAAGCTGACGTTAGATAAATTCATCTTAAAATAAGGAACGTTTTAACAGTGAGAATAACAAACCATTGGAACAACTTACTTAGGTATTCAATGAATTTGCCATCACTTGTACTCTTTAAATCAAAATTGGATGCCTTTCTAAAGGATATACCCTAACTCAACCAGAACATATGGGTTTGATGCAGGAATCACATGGTGAAATTCTATGGCCTGTGTTATACAGGAGTTCAGTCTAACTGAGCATAATGGTCCAGTCAGGCCTTAAATTCTATGAAATTTGAAATAATTGATGTTTCTCATTTCCTTCTCAATTCATTTCAAATCAGTGAGAGTTCTTTGGTCTTGCTGAGACTTGCTCCATTGTCCGATTAGGTTGTGGTGCAGGACAGTCCTTTGTGGTTCTGCTGCACTGCACTTTTTTGTGCATACTTTTATTTTAAAGATACTGTACTTAAAATGTTATGAGGCTACCACTCCTGTCTTCTTCAGACCAGTTCTACCTCTTGCCAACAGGGTTGGAGGACTATTGACCTGCCTCCAAAACTTTCACGTCAGCAAATGTGACGTGAGGTGTATTATGATGTGGAGACATCAAAATGTGATGCCTCTTTGTTCCATAGACACTGTATTGCGACATGTTTTGTTGTGCCACAACAAAATTACTCTTCAACTCAAACTGCAAAATCTGGTGTTCCTAGACTGCAACCCTATTTGTTTTTTTTAAGTCAATTTTCCAGATTTTTGTTTGGTTTTGAAAGCAAAACAATTTTATTTATTTATATATATGCTTGTGTGTGTGCGTGCACACATACACACACTTTTTACGTTCATACTTTCTTGCATGTCTGTATACACACCTTTTAACAATTTGTCATTTTACTGCAGTTAAAAGAGACACTGGAACAATCTATAGGCCAATTAAGGAGCCAACGATTGTCCAGAAATTCTGGAATGAGAAGTGCCTCTCTTTCAAGTTTATACACAAGTGACCTGGATGGTGAAGCAGCCACAGGTAAATGTTAAGAAGCTCTAGTATGTCACTGCATTGTAACATCCTTTTAAGGCTAGAGAGTGAATTTACATTAAATGGAGTAGAATCATGTTTGTTTTTCTTTAAAGAAAAGTCATGATTTTAAAAGTCCAACATTTTGGGACTATTTAGGGCTGGTAGTATGAGCTATGTGTCTCATTGGGAAGCTGGGAATCTTCCTTTTCCTTTAATATAAATCTCCTCTTTCTAGCCTGAGAGAGCTTCGAAATACTGGGCTTTAAAATTGTGATGTTTTTATTTATAGAAAAAGCTGACATTGGCCCAGTATTGAATTTTTTCCTTCCTAGGCCTTGGGCAGGTGTAATTTTGGGGACAAATTCTTCACTTTTGGGTGGAGAAGGAAATATTTCTTTAGGAGGTTGATTTAAAGAAACAAAACTGTTTGAAATGTTAGACTAAATCCTGGGAAGGTGGGTTAGTGGGTAGATGGCAGGTATTTGGGGGGGAAAGTTGAGTGATGAAATGCACAAGCACACAAGAAATGTATTTATTGGTTGTCTGTGAAATTTATCACATTGTGTCTTTGATTTCTTATATGCCCATATGTGTGTGTGAGAATCTTTTTTAAAATTTTCCCTTTCTTCAGTTTTCTCTTTCCATTTATCTTTTTTACCTCTTATCTTGTAAAGGGAGCCGCCATTTCCAGCCTACCTCACCTCTCAGGGATTATGGAGACTCACAGAGCACTAGACGTCGGAGGTCTAGGTCTGCTAATGTCCGGTTTGTCGATGAGGCCAATAATTTGGACCAGGTACTCAATACTAGTAGGAGATCTGCTCTCAAATGTCCCTTTCGGTTATTTAAAAAAAAAAAATACTGTGAAATTCAGAGCAGATGGACTTGTATTTTGGCTGCTGACATGAAAGTCTTTTCTAGAGTTTCTCTAAGTATTCTATATGCATAGTGCACTCATGTCACTTGTGAGCACAGCATATTGTGCATGTTTTTGAGGAAGGTCCTCTAAGATCCCCCTTGCTGTAGCTCGTTTACTCTCACCTCTCAGACTCAAAATACTAACCATGTGTGAACTGTCCTCCTGACTGAGGTGGGCTGGTCATTGCTCCTTCTGAAACTTGATCGTTTATTTATATAAAGAGTGACAGAGGCAGTGACATGCTGTATATATCCTAAAAGGTACTATTTCAAAATCTCTTGATATGGGATTGACATGTAATAAATTAGCCCTTGTAATCATGAGAAAAAGATCTAAAGACTACAACTCTTAGAGCTTTACAATTATTTAAACAAACATCAACACAGAATTAAAACACTAGTCTTGTCCCATTCTTAATTCACCTGTGCTTGTCTCAAACATGCTGGGTCTTCCAGTTCTCAGTCCATCATTCATCTTAGCCCCAAATGTCTGCTTAAAGCAGGTCTTGTAGCTAACAGTTTAACTTTCACAGGCCTATGAGGAGAGCAAGCTCTGGATTCAAGAGCTCTTCTGTGGGATGCCCTGAGACCAGCCCCATCTCTTTTAAATTAAGGGAGCTCATCTTGAGCTTGTTTAATGACTACAACTGTAGTTGATAGCCCAGGGGGAGAATCTGCTCCCTGTGTGAAACATCACTCATTAAATGATTGGCCACAATTTTCATATGGTTTCATATATGTAGCTTTATGTATAGTGCATTATGGCAATCCAAACTCATAGTGACAAAGGCATGGTATATAGTGATATCAGTGTCTTCAATTTTGTTTGTATTAATTTCAGCCAACTCACCCTTATTTTCACCCTATTACATGTAGACATTGAGTTATTTGTCCCATTGCACCAGGCAGGTGAAATGAGATGGAGATGAAGATTTGGGTGTCAGTTGGTCTGTTGCAGACACCTCACCCCATGTCTACTCGTTAACTCTCCAAACAGCCTGATACACACTTTGAATGGGTAGGATAATAGGATGGATTCCTATTGTTCCTCCGTAGAGGCTTCAGCACATATGAGCATTTACCCCAAACTACTCTCTGGGCTTCCCCAGGTAGATATGAATGGAGCTGAAAGATCTAATAAATCAGCATGAGCTCTTTATCTTCATTAATTGCTAGACAATCAGCTGATGTAAAAATGCAACTTTTGTACTGTAATTCAATCTAAATCTTTATTACACAGGGTTAAGGAAGTCTGAGGACCCCAGAAACTACCAGAGTTGTTTCACCATGATCTTTGTAATGACCTTTCCCCTAAAAGAGGAGTTAGTTAACCTTTTCAACAATAAAATATCTGTTTATAATAAGCTCTTTGGAAAAACACTGTTTTTGTTGTGTGTTTAGACAGCACTTTGTGCTTTATGGTGGTTCCCAGAATACAAATAAGATTTTTGCATATATAGTTTAATATCTTTCTGAACATTTTTTTGTTTATTTTGATGGTGTGTGTGTGTGTGTATATGTATGTATGTGTGTATATATATATATATATATACACACACACACACAGAGAGAGACGTTATATGCCAATATAAGTACTGCTTTGCTTATTTTTATAAAACTACTTAAATATTAACTATATCATTTTATTTCAGTAAAAACATGGATAAGTTGTTCTCTGGGATGATTTTTATTGACTATGGCCATAGGCTGAATTTGATTTATGGGATGAGGTGATGCTCAAATCTCACTTACCACAGCTTGAATCCTGGTATTCTCCCCCCTTGCCGCGTTCACAATCTCAGCATTCACATTCCCTATGTTTACCTTGCCAGGTCTTCCCATATTTTTGTTAGATATGACAAGTTTTGAAGTTTATTGATAATTCCACAATCATTTAAATTCATATAAGTCTAGATTCATTTATAAATGGTATTTTCTCAGTAGATTTACTTCCTGTCCCACAGCCCCTAGCAATTTCCTACTCCATCATGCTGCTCTACACTGTAACTATACTGCTCCGCTTGCTCAGAGTGGAGAATCAAAGTGAAATTTACAAGATCGCCTTAGAAAGGTAATACAAATGGTTCAGAGAGTTTAATTTCTCCACTTGCCCAGATCTGCTGATTGATTTGGAGCAGGGAGACCAGCATTGGATTGTGAAAGGGACAGGTAACTGAAATCAATACGCTCTAAAGCACTTGAACAGCCTCAGTTTATAACCTTGTTACTTCATTTTCTGTTGCACAGCTGAGAAGTGTGGTGTTGTGATATGGTTGCTGGGAGAAAAGCTTTAGTGCTATACTAGCACACCTGCCTAATTCAGCCCTGTACTATGAATAAATGTTAAATTACATATGAAATAATATAGTTGTAGTATTTAGAACTAGAAGGAGACCATAAACAATTCCAGACCGGAGGGTCCTGACACCTTCGTCATCTTTAACCTTTGTTTTGTTTAAATGTTTCTTTAAAACGTTTTAAAATACGTTTTTCCTTTTGAAATGACACTGAAGAAAGACATTTCAAACTTTTTCAGCTTAATTTGTGTGTTCTCATTTGCAGCTACATTCCTTACACCACTCCCTTCGAGACCTGAGCAGTGAACAGGTTCGCCTAGGAGATGATATCAGCAGGGAGCTTTCAAGAAGATACCGGTATAAGTAGTATCCATTTTCACATCAGGCAGAAAAGATGAGCTGTTTAAAGAATAAATTAGGAAATGTAGTTTAAGAGCTGTTTATAAATATAGAAATTAACTTTTGTTGGTTCAAAATATAAAAAAGCAATCATAGGAGTACAAAATGGACAATATGCTTCCTATTATAATTTTAAAAGGAGGAGAGTTTTAGAACTTCCTTCCAAAATATGGGGGAAGGAAAACCTGCATGATGATAAATTATCTAAGTCACGTCATCTTCATATTCAGTATATAATAAACACAATCCTTCTCAAAGGTAGCATTTTCCATTGGCTAATCCAGTGGGTTAGGGGATGGGAATCATTTGTACTATTCTCAACTCTTCCACTGGTAGATTGTGTTTAGAACCTGATCAGTAGCCCCCTGAAGTCAATGGAAAGACTACCATTGACTTCCATGAGCTTGGATTAAGGCCTTTAAGGTTTTCTGTATTACCCAAAAAAACAGATGGACTTTGAGCAGGTCACTTATGTTTTCTGTGCCTCATCTTATTCTGTGAAATGGGCATAATCTGCAAAATGTGTAGCAAGGATTAAGTTAATTGTTTGCAAAGTGCTGTCAGATCTCTAAATGAATGACAAAGCAAATATTAGCACTATCTTATTGCAAGTGATTGGGCAGCTAAAACTCAGGAATATGACTTTCTCACTACATAGAATAGCTACTATGTAATGGCTGTGTCTTCATTCAAATCTAAATCCTAGAACAAAATTATTGATGAAAGTAACTTGAGAAATGATTTGCATTCTGGATTCTGCTCTTGCTGATTTTTTTACATGTCATACATTTCATAGTTTAAGAGTGGTGGCATGTCTCACAAATTAGCTTCCCATTATCTGCCCTCAAAGTGTGGATACATTTTAATATGTGGTTTTGCTACCTGACCGCTGCTTTGTCTAGGAGTTTGCAGACAGAAAAGATCTGTTTTTAAAACTGCCCTAACGTGCAGGCATTGCAAAAGCTTAAAACCCCCAAATAAATAAATGCTGATTAAAGGCATATCATTGCTGCTCAGTTTAAATTAACCCATACTATTAAAATTTAAAATGAATCTTTGCATTTTTTTCCTTCTAAGGACTGATGCAGAAACCAAAAAGATCTTGGCAGACTTGTCTGAAAAGCTCACTGAATCCCAAAGACAAGAAACTGTGAGTGTGTTTTCAGCATAGCTAACTGGGTTGGGGAGAAAGGAGAGCAGGTGTGTTATGTACCTAGTTGCTAGTTCAATATGCATCTTGCCAATCAACTTAACACCAACATGTTATTGTGTCCTTAAAACGTAGTGAAGTTTGGGTCAGTGGGCTTGGGTGCTTTCACTGTGTAGCAAAAATGTAATGTGTTTCATCCCTCAAATCCTTGCTCGTTGAACTGAATGAGGGCATTTTATTGTTTGGGGTATTTTTTCGGTTCATTCACAATAAATTATCATGGAAAAAGCTGGCAGTGCTGTAGTTTGAGTGCTGAGCATTACTTGGAGCATTTTTCAGCAAACAAAATATCCTTCTAAAGCTCTAAAAATAATTTGTTGTAATTAAAAGTACATTCTCCTTTCTCCAGAGTCAACTTATATGTCAGTTACCCTTTTTAACTGAGCTGTCCTTTCAAAATAATCATTTAATATGCTTAGGATGTTGCTGTTATAAGGATTTTATGCCTTACAGTATGTGGTAATAAATAATCAATATTGCAAACTTATAACATCACAGGGAGACTTTGAGATCATTAGCTGCCTTGATACTGTCCAACTGAGTGTGATACAAAAGCATATTAAACTTGATTATTATGAGGGGAGAGAATTAATTTTTTTAGCTTATTTCAGAAGGATCACAACCTAAATAAAAGATGCAAAAATAACATCTGGTTTGTGGAAGGGTCAGTCATTAGTAAGGCTGCAAGTTTGTTTTTCTCTTGCTCAGCCCCTTCCCCTGGCTTTGATCCTGTACCTATGGTCCCTCCTTGCTGCCCACAGGTTCAACACACCCATCCATTTCCTATTTTCCTCGCAGGTGGGACTCTCTTGGGCTCTTGCTTCTTCCCACTCTCTGGGAGAGGCTTCTTTCTCCCATCCTGGTAGAGGCATTCTCCCTTCCAGTGTCCTTGCTGCCTATAGGCATAACATTCATTTGGCTCAGCCACAGACCTCCTGGCCCTGGTGTATTGCTTCCCCTTTCGTTCTCTGTGGACCCACTTCTGCAGGAGCTTAAGTATATAGAGCTGCTGCTCAGCTAGCTGGATCATGTAGGCCTGCAAGCACTCCTGTGTCTCCCACAGTCTCTGTTGCATCTGGAGAACCTGTAGCAGCAGGGCCTGAAGCTGCCCTTGCTGCTTGTTAGCCCCTTTTCACAGGGTCACCGACTCTGGAGTCCAGTCCGGGAGGGTGTATGAGCCCTTGGCAAAACATGCCTAGTGTGGCTCCATTGTCTCTCCACCTTTACTGTCTCTCAGATAGTCTTTCAAATTCCCCTTGTATCGGGGGTAGCGGTCAAAGAGTCTGAGTCCCTCACTCAGGGGCGACCGAATACCCGTTTTCTCCACCATATGTGAGGGGGTACACTCACCACTGCGGCGCTTCCTGCTGGCTGTCCCAGGGATTAGTGCTGCTAGTCAGTGCACCTCCCTCTTCTGGTGGTGTCTCACTGCTGTCACTTCTGCTCCTGGACCCATGTCACTCCAAAGACTGTGACGTCTTCTTCAGGACACAGCCCTCCAGCAGTGCTGCACTCTGTGCGCTCCCTTCTGGGGGATAGTATCACAGTCCCTCAGTCCAGCCACTTCCTCAGTGGTGAATGGGGGCGGGGAGGACCTGGGCCCCCCCACTACTCTGGGTCCTGGCCCAGGGACCCTGTAGATGGCCGCCACTTGCTGCGTCCTCTCCGACTCCTCAGTTCATTTCCCTGGGCCACTTCCCTGCGGCCCCCAGCACCTTCTTTGCCTTACCTCAGGACTTCAGCCTGCCAGTCTTAGCAGCTAGCCAGGAGCTCTCTCCAGCTTCCCCAATCCCTGCAGGCAGCACTGCTCTGACTAGGGTGCTGGCACTTCTTCCTCCTGCTCGGAGCCTGGTCCTCCCTCATTGAGCTCCAGGCAGCTACTGAATTTACTCTGCCCTGCAGCTCTTCTTATATGGGCCTGCCCAGCCCTGATTGGGTGCTCCTCGCAGACTCTTTCCTATTGGCTGCTTTTCACACAGCTGCTCCAGTTGTGTGAAAAGTTACCCCTAACCGGCCAATGTGGGGCAGGCATCCCATCACAGCCATCTCCCCACCACACAAAGGTTAGACCCATACTGGTCTATTTGTTGCACCTAAAATCATCCAGCCTTTCAGATGAGCCCACCTGGCTTCCATATCTGCTCTTTATCTGCCAGTGGATGGATTTTCCATTTTATCTCACTCTCTGGTTTCCAAATTTCTGAAGGGTCTAGTCAACATCTACAGATTATTTACAGATGCTACATCTACCCATCTGTGTCTGATTTGCAGATGATACAAAACTATTCAAGATAGTTAAGTCCAAAGCAGACTGCGAAGAGTTACAAAGGGCTCTCACAAAACTGGGTGACTGAGCAACAACATGGCAGATGAAATTCACTGTTGATAAATGCAAAGTAATGCACATTGGAAACATAATCCCAACTATATATATAAAATGATGGGGTCTACCACTCAAGAAAGAGATCTAGGAGTCATTGTGGATAGTTCTCTGAAAATATCTACTCAATGTAGAGTGGCGATCAAAAAAGTGAACAATGTTGGGAATCATTAAGAAAGGGATAGATAATAAGGCAGAAAATATCATATTGCCTCTTTATAAGTCCATGGTGCATCCACATTTGAATATTGCATGCAGATGTGGTCGCCCCATCTCAAAAAAGATATATTGGAATTGGAAAAGGTACAGAAAAGGGCAACAAAAATGATTAGGGGTATGGAACAGCTTCCATATGAGGAGAGATTAATAAGACTGGGCCTTTTCAGGTTGGAAAAAAGATGACTAAGGGGGGATATGTAAAGGTCTATAAAATGATTGGCGTGGAGCAAGTAAATAAGGAAGTGTTATATACTTCTCATAACACAAGAACTAGGGATCATGAAATGAAATTAGGAGGCAGCAGGTTTAAAACAAACAAAAGGAAGTATTTCTTCAGACAACGCACAGTCAACCTGTGGAACTCTTTGCCAGAGGATGTTGTGAAGGCCAAGACTATAAGAGGATTCAAAAAAGAATTATATAACTTCCCTGCTCTGTTCATTACCTCTGACGCATCTGGCATTGGCCACTGTCGGAAGAGAAGATACTGAGCTAGATGGACCTTTGGTCAGACCCAGCATGGCTCTTCTTATATTCTTATGATCCAGTACTGTTATGGGATCTCAACCTAGTCCTCTCTAGGTTAATGGGTTCTCCCTTCGAAGCTGTGGTGAGAATGTCACTGTCTTTATTGTCTATGAAAATGGTGTTTCTGGTGGCGATCTCTTCTGCAAGGAGAATTTTGGAACTTTGTTTTTTTTAGTGGATCCTCCTTTCACAGTCTTTCAAAAAGACACAATTTCTCCTTGGCCAAACCCAAAGTTTATGTCCAAGATAAGATCAGCTTTCCACCTGACTCTCTCTCTTCATATTTTTTCCAAAGCTGAAGACAAGCTCTGCACTTTAAACATTCACAGGGCTTTGGCATTCTATTTGGATCATACTAAGTCCTTTAGAGCCTCTCCCAGGCTTTTTGTTGCCTACACTGAAAGAGTTAGCGATCAAGTGGTAACAGCTCAGTGTATTTCTCACTGGATTACTGACTACATTAAGCTGTGTTATGATAAAGCTTCTCCTCCACCAAGGATAGCAACTCACTCTACCAGAGCTCAGTGTACTTCATCAGCTTTTCTGAGGGCTTGTCTACACTTACTGGAGGATCGACACTGCAGCGATCGATGCATTGGCAGTTGATTTAGCGGGTCTATTGAAGACCCGCTAAATCGACTGCCGATCGCTTTCCCATCGACTCCTGTACTCCAGCTGATCGAGAAGAGTAAGGGGAGTTGACGGGAGAGTGTCTCTCATCGACATCGTATAGTGTGGACCCTAAGTAGATCTAAGCTACGTCGATTTGAGTTATGTTATTCACGTAACTCAAATTGCATAGCTTAGATCGACTTTTCCCTTTAGTGTAGACAAGGCCTGCAACATTCATGTAGTGGATATCTCAAAATCAGCAATGTGGTTATCTGTATGTAACTTTTCCAGACGTTTTGCCATCACTCAAGCCTCTAGATCCTTGCCCAAGTCAACAAGATGGTGTTACAATCTCTGTTCAGATGATTAGCAGTTCCCTTCAAGTGGAAGGACTTCAGATGAGTCACCTGCAATGGCATGAATATGTGCACAATCAATGGGAGAGAAAAAACGGTTCCTTACCTGCACTGTAACTGTGGTTCTTTGAGATGTGTTGTACACATATACATTCCACGACCTACTCACCTTCCCTTCTACTTTGGACATTGCATACAGCAGTGTTAAGAAATGGAGAGCGAAGTGGTGGATGTGACCCTTCTATGCTCTCACCCAAGAGGACAAGGCGATCAGGGTTGCATGCTGGCAAAAGTCTTAGTCTCAAGTGCATATGGGTGCATGTACACTTGCAGTGGAACATATATGTGCATAATACATCTCATAGATCAACAGTTACTATCTGGGTAAGTGACTGACTTTTTTTTCTCCCACAGGAATTGGAGTGGGACCATGAAATTTGCTACTAAATGAAATAAGAATAACCACTAATCTCACCGCATTCAGAGCTAAATGCAAAACCTGCCCTTTGACGTGAGGTGGTTTTCCTGCAGTAACCCTCAGCAATAACTAGTGATAAATTAGAATACTCACACTTCATTTTTTTTTTAAATAGTCTAACAACTTGAAGCTTTTTCCCTCTGGCAGGTTTGGAATAGAGAACTTGATGTTTACTACTTGTGGAAAGTGCTAGGATGCCACAGTAATGGTTGACATTATAAAAACTTATATGGGGTTAGAAGTGATGCATATTCTCCCTAGTGACATCATGTTCAAAGGGCTGGAAAGACATCAGACCAACCTTTTGACCAGTGGAAGACTACATTATTTTTATCATTAATGGGTCATCAAAATACGACTCCTGGAT